AAAAAAAAAAGCCACACCAAAACAGATTTTTTAAGGAATAAGGCATTGTGGGCTAATTCTAGAAACCTCAGCCAATGCAAACTTTGGCCCTAATTCTGGCCCTTGCCCTATCATCAGCTTCATATTGCCGTTATGCCTCCAACTATATCAAATCATGCTTGGTTATGATGATATTAGAAACACGGGTAGTTAAAATAGGACAGGGGTATTAGCTACTTATGTCTTCCAACCCCTGCTATTGGTAAAACTATGAGAACAGAGAAATTAATAATATAACTTAAATTGAATTAGTGTCTTCTGGCATTTTACACTTGAATTAGATGTTTGCCTGTTTTTAAGATGGCTTGTATTTTTTTAGGCATCTGTGGGAAAACTAGAATTGCAGAAGTAGGAGGTGTGCCTTACTTATTGCCTCTTGTAAACCAAAAAAAAGTAAGTGTGCTTTTACTCTTCATATTCACAGGAAGATTGTAGAAGTTGGGTTGATCCCTCTGTTTATTATTAGAAGATCCATTGATCAATGTGGCAAGGAAGTGCTAATGGACTCAGTATTATTAATAAAAAGTAAACCAGGGAGTTTGTATAAATTATAATTTAAATAATATTTTTTTCCTCGTCTGTAGGTTTACGATCTGAATAAAATTGCAAAAGAAATCAAGCTGCCTGGAGCTTTTATTCTTGGAGCGGGAGCAGGTCCATTTCAGACTCTTGGGTTCAATTGTGAGGTCAGCATATAATATTCTTCTTTTTTTTCTTTTCTACCCCCCCAAAGCATATATAGTATAATTATTTTATTTTATGGATTTGACATTTGGTTTGTCTGTTTCCTTTTACTGCCAAAAAACCTACTTTCTGAGTGAATTGTAAGTGGTTGATATCATATTACTCTACAAATTAGATCCTATTTGATACAGATTTGGTTTATAGCTCATGCTCTAATTGATCCAACTATAATGGAGCACTGACCTCTAGTATCAGATTTTCCCAGGGTATAGGTTCAGCCTGAGATAAATCCAAGGTCCTGGGTATTCTGCTAAAGGCACTGGATTATAAAAGTTTTATTCTTATATATCATAGGATTCCTAGCTTCTTTGCTTTTGGTATGAAGGCAGCTTTGGATCAGAAGATGAATGGAATATTTAATGATCTACCCTCTACCAGATCAAATTCTAGGAAACTATCAGAGTAGTGTGATGGTTATTTGTAAAAGTTAATAGCTGTTAGTGTATATACTATTAATATACACTATTACTGCATAAAAATATCACTGTTTCTTCATATCTCACGAATAAGAGTGAATGACCTCTTCAGTCTGCCCATTCTTTCACAGTCTCTTCAGATGTGACCATTAGTCAGCAGTTACACAAGTTCTTTGCAGATAGGTCTTTCCTAGGAACATTAAAAGTTCTTTGCAGAAACATTAATATAATTTGCCTAGTGTTCAAGATAGAAAAAAATGTTTAAAATTTAAAATTAGGTATTTTAAAGCAAATGTTACAATGTTATAAATACACTGTAAGAAATACTGTAAACATTTTATAAAATGTTTTTCCAGGTTTCTGTATATAAAATTAATATTGCATATTTCATGTGTTCACATTAGGACTTGAAATAAAATGTCTTAAAGGGATGAAGTATTTTGTAACATTATTCAAGATATTCTCTTTGCATAGGGATACTAAGATTGACTAATTACCTTATTTTCTTTTCAGTTTATGCCAGTTATTCAAACAGAAAGTGAACACAAACCTCCTGTGAATGGAAGTTACTTTGCCCGTGTTAACCCTGCAGATGGAGGGTGCCTACTGGAGAAATACAGTGAGAAATATAGTGATTTTGGGTGTGCATTACTGGCTAATCTTTTTGCCAGTGAGGGCCAACCTGGCAAGGTGATTTTGTCCATAAAAATACAATATTCTATAAATATTCTCAGCTAAAAATTTGAACTTTTTTTGCCCCAAATATAATCTTCCTTCAGAGCTACCTAAGTCAAAGTTCTCTAAATAACTCAATTATGGCCTGGCACAGTGGCTTATCCCTGTAATCCCAGCAACTTGGGAGGCTGAGGTGGAAGGATCACTTGAGGTAGGAGTTCAAGACCAGCCTGGGCAACATAGCGAGACACCACCTCTAAAATAAAATGAATTGAAATGAAGGCATGGTGGCACACACCTGTAGTCCCAGCTACTCAGGAGGCCAAGGCAGGAGGATCATTCAGGCTCAGGAGTTCCAGACTGCACTGAGCTATGATCATGCCACTGCCCTCCAGCCTGGTCAACAGAGCAAGACATTTTCTCTAAAAAAAGAAAAAAACAATTATGAAAAATTCAGAGAGTACTACAGGCAGAGCAAAAGTCATCTTTAAAACTGAGGTTAAAGACTTAGTAAGCAGTACCTTTTTCTGAGTACCTAAAGGTAACAGAATATTAATTTGGGGGAATGAATTAGTCACTTATATCAGCAGTCCCCAACCTTTTTGGCATCAGGGACTGGTTTCATGGAAGACAAATTTTCCATGGACAGGAGTTGGGGGGATGGTTTCAGTATGATTCAAGCACATTACATTTATTGTACAGTCAAACCTCTCTGCTAATGATAATGTGTATTTGCAGCTGTTCCCCAGTGCTAGCATCATTGCCTCAGCTCCACCTCAGATCATCAGGCGTTGGATTCTTACGAGGAGCGCACAACCTGGATCCCGCACATGCACAGTTGACAGTAGTGTTCACACTCCTATGAGAATCTAATGCTGCTGCTGATCTGACAGGAGACAGAGCTTATGTAGTGATGCAAGTGATGGGGAGCAGCTGTAAATACAGATGAAGCTTCACTAACTCACCTACCGCTCACCTGCTGCCATGCAGCCCAGTTCCTAACAGTACTGGTGCTGGTCCATGTTCCAGGGGTTGGGGATCATGGACTTATATGAACCATGCAGCTAAAATAAATAATGCTTTACTTATAGGTAATAAATAAGTAAATTGCTCATTTCTGACTGATTATACATTGTTCTAGATAGAAATGGTGGTAGCAAAAACGTATAGCAGGTGGCTCACACTTGTAATCCTGGCACTCTGGGAGGCTGAAGCAGGATGATTGCTTGAGGCCAGGAATTCGAGACCAGCCTGAGCAAGAATGAGACCCCATCTCTACAACAAATAGAAAAATTAACTAGATGTGGTGGCACATGCCTGTAATCACAGATACTCCAGAGGCTGAGGCAGGAACATCTCTTGAGCCCAGGAGTTTGAGGTTGCAGTGAGCTATGATGATGCCACTGCACTCTAACCTGGGCAATAGGGTGAGACTCTGTCTCAAAAAAAAAAAAAAAAAGTATAGCAAGAAGAAAGGAAGAAAAATTAATGTTTTACTTCATATTTACTTCCTGTTAGTATGCAAAAAGACAATTTCAATATTAGCATTTGTGAGGACTCTCCAATTTTATCAGCTACTTTGAGATACAAGATCAAGAAGTCAAAATACCTAATAAAGTAGAAATAACACAGTCTAGAATTTTAGGGAAATGAGAAAATGTAATCCTTTCCCTCTAACCCCCATTTATAGGAGGTTAATCCCCTTAAGCCAGGGAATTCTCAACTTTAACACATACGTTAAGAGAGTCTCCAAAGTTCAGTGTAGGACTTATTTATAACTCTCTCAGTGCAAGAAAGCATGAATAACACTTACTGTTAGGGTAAATTATATATAACTGGGGTGTGTGTGTAATTGATCAAGGCTCACAGAGGATTGAGACACCTCAACTCAGATCTAGGAGCTCTAAGTAAAGAAGAGAATATTTGATGGCATTAAATTATATAATGTTTCACTTTGGCATTTATATAAAAATTTGCAGCTTAGCCAATGGTATACATATTTATATCCTCTGTAGGTCATTGAGGTGAAAGCCAAAAGAAGAACTGGACAACTTAACTTTGTGACTTCTATGAGACAGACTCTGGAAAAACATTATGGAGATAAGCCTGTAGGGATGGGAGGTACTTTCATAATTCAGAAAGGAAAAGTGAAGTCTCACATTATGGTAAGAGCCTATGTGTGTGTACATGTGCTGAAGATCCTAGGATTTTTAAATATATTTTGGGAACTCTACCTTTAAAGATACCAAAACAAATCCTTTCACTATGATTGTATTACTTTAAAATTTAAATGACAAACAATACTGTAAGTCATATTGTGAGATAATGTCTAGCTAGTTCTTTTTTCATGTTACTATATTAGAACTTTCTTTTTAACGTGTTTTTAAGATCAAGATAAATTCAAATGGAAGCCTTAAAAACTGCTTACTATTTTCGTTGCCAAAATCTCAAATTCAATACATAGAATTTGCTGTTAAGATGGCTGTGCTTTTGAGAAAAGAAAAATTGATTATAAAGATTATAATCTTATGGGCTAAATATATAAGACATTAAGGATAGAATACTATATTAAGCTAGACCCAGAGCATTCAGGACTTTTTTATTTTATAATTCTTGGTAGATAAATGAATGAAAAAATGAATGAGGTATAAAAATGATCCTAACTTAGTTTTCTGTTTTATCAGTAAAGCCATCAGAAATTGCATTGTTTTAATGTTTTTCATCTTGATAATTTTAAATGGCAAGCCAGTTGATCCTGCATATAAAGAGGCAGCATGTGTGAACCTACTTAATTGCTTTTCCAAATTACTGACAAGAGAATTATAGGTAAATCTAGTTGTAAATACAAATGATTATAGGATTGAATCATAATGTTGCAGAATTTTAGATCAAGAAGCTTGTGTTTTTATCTTAATCAAAATAAACCAGCTTTCTTCAAAAGTGCATAGAAGCACTCCTTTCTTCCTAATTCTTGGGTATATATATTTCATTTAGGTGAAGTGTAAATCTGTCACCTTTAAAATTAATTCTTCAAGTATTTATAATTCAACAGCCGCATTAGTAACTTTTATGAGGAGCAAACAAGTGAATATTACCATAAGTAATACTATATAAATTTATATTTGCAAATGCATTTGAATTCAAGAAAGAATAAAAACCGAGGAAAGATGAAGCAAAGCCTTTCTTCTACCCACTTTATTTTTAATTATGGCAAAACATACAAAATCTAAAATTTACCATTTTAACAGATTTTAAGTGTACAACTCAGTGGTATTATTGACACTGTTACTGTGAAACCATCACCACCATACATCTCCAGAACTTTTCTCATCTCGTAAAACTGAAGCTCTGTACTCATTAAATAGTAACCCGCATTCCCCTCTTCTTCTGACAGCCACCATTCTACTTTCCATCTCTATGAACTTGACTATTCTAGATACCGCATATAAGTGGAATGATACAGTATTTATTCTTTTGTGACTGGCTTATTACCCATAGGATAATGTTGTCTAGGTTCATCCATGTTGTAGCATATATTGGAATTTCCTACCTGTTGAAGGCAGAGTAATATTCTATTGTATGTATACACCACATTTTGTTTATCTGTTCATCCATCAGTGGACACTTGGGTTGCTTCCACCTTTTGGCTATTGTGAATAATGCTGCTATGAACATGGGTGCACAAATATCTCTTCAAGACCCTGTAGTTCTTTTGGGTATATAGAGTTGCTGGATCATATGATAATTTTATGTTTAATTTTTTCAGGAATTGCCATACCATTTTCCACAGTGGCTGTACCATTTTACATTCCTATCAGCAATGCATTTTTCCACAGCCTAGACAACACTTATTACAAATTTTTTTTATGATAATAGCCATCCTATTGGTATGAAGTGGTATCTCATTGTGGTTTCAATTTGCATTTCCATAATTATTAGTGGTGTTGAGCATCTTTTCACATTCTTATTAGCCATTTATATGTCCTCTTTGGAGAAATGTCTATTCAAATCCTTTGCTCATTTTTTAATTAAGGTGTTTGTTGAGTTGTACGAGGTCTTTATATTCCGGATATTAACCCCTTATCAGATATATAATTTGCAAATATTTTCCCCCATTCCATCAGTTGCCTTGTCACTTTGTTGATACACATTTGTCATTTGGTGCACAAAACTTTTAATTTTGATGTAGTCCAATTTATCTATTTTTGTTGTTGTTGACTGTGCTTCTCAAGAAATCATGGCCAAAATCCAATGTCATTTTTTACCATAGGTATTCTAAATGTATTAGCTCTACATTTAAGTCTTTGATCCATTTTGAGTTAATTTTTGTATATGGTGTAAGGTGGAGGGTTCCGCTTCATCTTTTGCATGCAAATATCCAGTTTTCCCAGCACCATCTATTGAAAAGACTGTCCTTTCCCCCACTGAATGGTGTTGACACCCTTCTAGAAAATCATTTGACCATATATACAAGGGTTTATTTCTGGAATGTCTATTCCACTGGTCTGATGTCTGTCTTTATGCTAGTATTGTACTGTTTTGATTACTGTAGCTTTGTAGTAAGTTTTGAAGTCAAGAAGTATCAGACATATAATATTCTTCTTTTTTCAAAATTGTTTTGGCTATTCAAGGTCTAAAAATAGTCAGCAGAATGTGTAAGAAGGCTTAAAATTTTTAACTTAATGAAGTTACATATTTTTAAAATTTTTATTTCTCAATAATATTCAGTATGTTTACCTGTTTAACAATCTTTTTTTTTTTAACAATCTTTTATGGTAGCCTGCAGAATTTTCTTCCTGCCCCTTGAACTCAGATGAAGATGTGAATAAATGGTTGCGTTTTTATGAGATGAAGGCTCCTTTGGTTTGTCTGCCAGTTTTTGTCTCCAGAGACCCAGTAAGTCTGTGTGTCTTTTATATTGTACTATACTACAATGATAATGCTTGATTTTTAGAATATCCTTTTAGAATTAGGTACTTTTTGTGTTGTATTTAATAGTTATTTAAGAACTAGGATAATCTCTAGAATTATTTTGAAAGGTAAGGGAGCAGCAGGTGGCTCACTCCCCCATGAGTTAGGCAGAGCAGATTTTATATTTGGGAAAGTGAAGGGAAGGCACTTTAAATAATACCCCAAATCATTTTATTGAACAGTAGATGTAGCCAGGCATGGTGGCACACCCTTGCAGTCCTAGCTATTTGAGAGGCTGAGGCAGAAAGATCACTTGAGCCCAGGAGTTTGAGACCAGCCTAGGCAAGCAACATAGCAAGACCCCAGTCTCAAAAAAAAAAAAGATTAATAGAATCACAACTATTAAATAAAATTCATGTCATCTATTATCTTACTTGGTGTTCATTATATTCTAATATTATACACTAGAAAAAATATTATAGATCAATTCAAAGAAAGTTTCTACTAAAATATTGATCATCTCTTTTTTTGATTCAGTGATTACATGTCTAGGATTTTATCCTTAAATATAGACATAATTATGTAAAATGATTAGTTAAAAAGTTAGACAGTGTTGTTATAGCAGAGCAGAAGAATTGGAAATAATGTAAATGTCAGTTGGGAAGAGTTACGTACATACAATAGAAAACACCATGTTAGGTGTAAAAGGAGGAGGAAACTCTTTTATGATCCGATATACAAACATCTCCAAACATCATGTTAAATGTAAAAAAAATAAAATAAAAAAAAAGCAAAGCTCTGGCCAGGTGCAGTGGCTCATCCCAATAATCCCAGCACTTTGGAAGGCTGAGGCAGGAAGATCACTTGAGGCCAGGAGTTCAAAACCAGCCTGGGCAACATAGGGAGACCCCGTCTCTACAAAAAATGTTTTAAAAATTAGCAGGGCCTGGTGGTGTGTGCCTGTAGTCCTAGCTGCAGTAGGATTACTCGAGGCCAGGAGTTCAAGGTTACCGTGAGATATGATCACACCACTGCACTCCAGCCTTTGCAACAGAGCAAGATGCTGTATTTAAAAAAAAAAAAAAAAAGCTCTATACAGAAAAGTATATACAGAGTGCTACAATTTAAGTAAAAAAAAAAAAAAGTAAATATTTGAATACTAACAAATTGTTTGTCTGTTGTCCTAGGGTTTTGATTTGCGACTGGAGCACACGCATTTTTTTAGTCATCATGGAGAAGGTGGACACTACCATTATGACACTACCCCAGAGATAGTGGAATATCTTGGATACCTGTTACCTGCAGAGTTTCTTTATCGTATTGATCAACCAAAAGAGACCCATATAATTGGACGAGATTAAATCAGCTGATACTTAGAAAAAGAAATAATTAAGGTTAATTGATTAACTCACTAATCGATACTAATATGAAATCTAATAGAAATTATCTTACTACTTAAACCCCATTTTTTATTAGCTTTCAAAATGAAGGGAATATATTAACATTGTATTCTATTTCATATGTCTGTTTGAAAGAGATAATTGGGAACAAAGATACCTAATTGAGATGTTCTTTAATTTTTTCTACATATATACATTTATTGAACCAACATCATTGTTTTTTGTAATATTAGCAAAATCAGTCTTATGTTTATATCTTAAATGTAAACATGATCAGGAATCATGTAATTATTCCTATTTAGTAATAACATACATTTGTATGACATTATTAAATTTTTCAAATTAGTCTCACAACTTCTAAGTATAGATATTTCTGAGAATTAGAAAAATCAAGTGTTTAGAAATGTTCAGTGAACTCCAGCCTGAGCAACAGAGTGAGATTCCATCTCTTAACAAAAGAAAGAAAGAAAGAAAGAAATGTTGATAGCTGTTGAATCCTTGTATTGGATTTTAAATATACATTCTAGAAATCAGAGCATACTTTTTTTATGGAATAAGGTGGCAAAGAGGAGCCTTTCACCCTTTTGGTGAAGTTAAACCATATTCAGAAGTTTGCAGTTTGCCTTTCACAGACATTAGCAACTCGTGGTGTTAGCCATGATTCCTCCCTTGTTTGGATTGCCAGTTGGAAGCAGTTTGTACCTTGTTGGTTATTTGCAAGAAGAAAAGGGAAAAGAAACGGCATCAAAATACAACACTGAAGTGACCGTACTGCTAAACTTGACCACTGTCCTCTGTGAAATATGAAATTATACTCTTGCTGATTGTAATGGTTGAAATTTTCCTCAATGTTCTGCTATAATCATTAACCAGAAATCAACTCTCTAGTCTTACTAATGCCAACCTTGCTAACATGCAAGATGCAGGAGCTCTTTGGTACTAAGCACTTAATCTTCAAGTAATATTTTTTGATGGTTTACTTTGGATGTTAGCTATGTCTTGTGAGCATAAATTCCTAAATATTTTTAAATAAGCACCATTTTGAAGCAAAAAAGAATAAAAATTTTCATATGCTATTGTTTCTTTTTAATATCTTACCTCCAGACAAAAATAATATTCTTTCATTTAACAAATAATGTATTGAATACCTGTCCTGTCCTCTGGGATGTAAACTCCATGAGGGTGAGGGCAAGGGCTATGATCAGCACTGTAGCACCAGTGCCTTTAACAGTACTTGGCCAGAGTAGGCACTTGGATGATTATGCCAGGCATTTCACTAGATACTGGGGATCTATCTAGTAGGGGAAGACAATAAATAAAGACATAATGTCTGGTGGTATTAAGTGCATGCCGTTTTGTTGTGGCCATTCCACACTGAGACATGATATACTCCCCACCCCAAATTTGATTCAGATGTCAAGACTAATGAAGTTACACCCCAAGAGGGTATGAAAGGATTTGTTAATCTCATCATGAAGCTTTCTGAGGAGAGCAGCACAGCCCCTAAGGTCCAAAAATGGCTTAAGAGAACAAGGAAAAGAGATTGGCTTGCAGTCTTTATGGTGGTTAGGGGGAAGGGCCAGGGTGATGATTCCTGCATGCAGTTTGATTTTCCCATGGTGTCAAAGGCGGCAGCGCCCAGGCTGCCTTAGCTTGCCAAAATATGGGGTGGAAGGCGAAGGGGTTGGGGTAAGGCTTAAGGGCTGTCAGCAGTCAAACAGTATAAATGGAATCAGACTTTTGATTACAGATTTCAGATCTGATTTCAGAAGTGAGAATCTTCTGAAGAAGTCCTACACCTCTTCCCCTCACTACAGATACAAATACTGCCTTTATTCTTCATTAATGTTCTCCAAAGTGGGGTGCATGAACAGCAAGTGCACAGGACATTCCAAGGAGTGAAGGAATATTAGAACATTTACATATTTTATTTCATCCTTTTAAATTTCTAGTTTTGTGTACCTTTCTTAGGGGTTTCAGCTCAAATTATTTTTGCTGATAGGCACAATTCAAAAAGCTTGGCGATCAGACACATTCACACTAAGATAGGAAAAAAATCAAAATGCTTTTCCTACTCTCACACACTATGAATACAGTACAGAATGCTTGTGACCAGATGTACGTGGTTTCTTTCCCACACACCTCACCATTCTCCAGCAGAGACCAGCTGGGTGTCCTATAATTTAATTCAATTCCCTCGCTATTTACCTGAACATAGCATCAGATCCCACAGGCTAATCGTTCAGTCTCTCTCCCCCAAGACTGCAGCCAACTTCAGATGCCAATCACAAGCCCCAGGTTGTGACTTGTGTTTCTGACCAACCTAATAAATTGCAGTTTCCACACCCACCTCTTCAAGTTTAATTTGCTAGAGCAGATCACAGAATTCAGGGAAACACATTTCCCAGTTTATTAATAAGAGATATAATAAAGGATAAGATGAACAGCCAGATGGAAGAGATGCATAGGGAGAGGCATGTGGGAAGATGTGTGGAGCTTCCACATCCTCTCTGGGTACCACCCTCCAGGTACTGCCACACATTCAAACCCTTTTCGTTTGGGTTTTTATTGAGGCTTCCTTACTGTAGTCATGATTGATTAAATCATTGGCCGCTGGTGATCAGCTCAACTTTCAGCCCCTCTCTCCTCCCTGGGAAGTTCCAACTCTTTAATCACATGATTCCAACTCTTTCATCACATGGTTGGTTCCCCTGGCAAGCAGCCCCCAACCTGAAGCCATCCAGGAGCCCCAGCCATCAGTCATTTCACTAGAATAGAAAAAGACACTTGTCACTCTGGAGATTCTCAGGGTTTTTAGGAGCTGTGTGCCAGGAAACAGGGACAAAGACTATCTTATAAATCACAATGTCACGCCATCTTTCCAAACCTAAAGTAAGAACACAATCTAACACGGCAACTTATGTAACTAAAGTAATGAAATATTAAAAACCAATGGCCAGGCGTGGTGGCTCACGCCTGTAATCCTAGCTCTCTGGGAGGCCGAGGCAGGCGAATTGTTTGAGCTCAGGAGTTCGAAACCCACCTGAGCAAGAGTGAGACCCCCGTCTCTACTAAAAATAGAAATAATCAGACAACTAAAAAAAATATATAGAAAAAATTAGCCGGGCATGGTGGCGCATGCCTGTAGTCCCAGCTACTCGGGAGGCTGAGGCAGAAGGATTGCTTGAGCCCAGGAGTTTGAGGTCGCTGTGAGCTAGCCTGATGCCACGGCACTCTAGCCCAGGTAACACAGTGAGACTCTGTCTCAAAAAAAAAAAAAAAATAAATAAATAAATAAAAACCAAATTTTCCAGAAAAATCTGATACATTCATTACTGTTCCTGGAACTCCTACCTTTATCCTTATTTCTCTGATATTCTGTTTTTCTGAAGCATATTAACTAGAGCAAAGATAAACTTCTTTAAATTTAGACTAATACTTGATATTATTTGCATAAGCAACCTAGTATTTGCCACTACAGTAGATACCTAAAAGCGGACTCCCATTTGCTTTTGGTTTTAAAACCCCAGCTTCCTTTTAGATTATCTGTGAAGCCTCTGTGTGGCCTATTCTTCCATTCAATAGCAATATACTGGAACGTATTATATCAGGCACTGTGGTACATACTGCGCTGGTACTAGTATATACTAACATGTATTGTACTGGTACATACCATACCAGGTACTAGGAAGACAAACATGAATAAGACATGGTCCCTGCCCCAGAGGAGCTTGGTCTAGTGGGGATACAAAATGTGTAGGAGTGGAGCCCAAGCTTCCCTTTCACTCTCTGAAGGTTCATTGAAAATGAACTGACAAAAGGCAAGCTAATAAGGAAAAAAGTACACAAACTTTATTTAATGTGCATAAACATGAGGAATCCAAGGAGAATGATTACCTAATAATCCAATGAGATCCAAATGCTTATACGCTCTTCTTCACAGGGGAAGAGAAATGTGGGGTATAGGAGTAAATGATTTTTAGAGGAAATGAATAAGCCAAAAGAACAATGGCCTGGGACAAAGTTCCTCTGAACTCTGGGGGAGGCGGTGGGAAGATGAGGGGCAGAGCTTCACCGTTAGCAAAGGTTGTTTTATTTGCAGATAAAGTCCCCCAGGTAATCTCTGGGAGCAGCCCTCAGAAGAATAGAGGAAAAGCCTATCTGGGCATGGCGAAGACGCTGTGTCTCTTCTCTCCTTGGTGGCTAACCTTTCCTGGTTATTTGACGAGATTCCTTGGGAAGGGACTGCATTTCTTTTGGAAAGAAGCTTCCCTAGTCAGATAAAGAATTCCAGAGTACCTCCCCATGCTTCAGAAAAGAGGATCAGAGAGACAGCGAGGCAGGGAAAGTTAGAGAGAGAACTTAGTCCCGAGGCTTATTTCGGAGGCCTTTTAATCTCCTTTAATTCAAAGCACTCAGCATGCTGAAGCGCCATATTTGAAGTATCATTTTCTGAGCCACAACTCATATGAGCGAATAATTAAAATAGGATAAATCCTATTAATATTGCCATGTAAGGCACTGTACACTGTTAAATTAGGTTTAGCCTAAATCTGCCTCCTTACATATTTTACGTTGGGCCTAAAGGTTTCTCCCTATCTAGTGAAATGTAATCCAACTGGATGCATAAACAGAATGTAAGCTACTCCCCAAAGTAGCTGAGTCTCAGCCAATCACAGCAGCCATGCTTCAACCACTCACAGGTGGCCAACTGTTTGAGCTATGTTCAAATGGCGGGGCATGGTGGCTCACACCTGTAATCCCAGCACTCTGGGAAACCAAGGTGGGAGGATCACTTGAGCTCAAGAGTTCGAGACCAGCCTGAGCAAGAGCAAGACTGGTCTCTACTGGGAAAAAAAAAAAAAAAATTGAAAAAAATTAGCCAAGCAACTAAAAATAGAAAAACGCTGGGCGTGGTGGTGCACGCCTGTAGTCCCAGCTCCTTGGGAGGCTGAGCAAGGAGGATCATTTGAGCC